AACACCGCCAAGTGGGTTGCAGAATGTGGGATAGGGAATTGTGTGAAAAACTCACGTTATTATATTCTAAATGCGGTTGGTGCGAGTTGACTAGTGGGTTTAGTAGATCGAAGAAATGCTTTTGCAATCTCATAATTTCAAAATGCACTGTGCTCATCAGAAACTGACAGATAATGGTGCCAGGGTGTTAAGTGTCAAATGCGACGCTTTTGTCGTGGACTGTTCTGGGTTTGACTAACTTGGCTTGAGAAAAACCTCAGCGGTTGTTGGACTTCCGCGATGGTATTGGCGGGTGGGAACTAGCCGAGATCATACGGGAAAGCAGATGTATGAACGAAAGACATGTGAATATGTTGAGATACCAGTTGTCAGAAACAAACGGGTCAATATAATTGATGAATACGATGAAAATGAACTGATTAAACTTGTTGAGAAACATAGATGCTTGATGGTTAAGGCTACATTCGCGGAGGCGGGTAAGTCTACCATTTGCAAGAGTATGGAGAGACCCAAGGGCTACAAAGTCTTGTTCGTACTGCCCACGAAAAATCTTGGCTTGGAGTGCGATATTCAAAGCGCCACGGCAACAAGAATCTTCAGTGTAGCAGTCAACGACGAGAAGCTAGATAAATACGATCATTCAATGTTTGACGTCATTGTGTTTGATGAGATCTGTTTTAACAATACATGTGTATTGCCAAGCATGACGGACTTTGTGGAGCAATACAGGGCAAGTAAAATCATTTTGGCAACCGGTGACGCAAAACAATTGAGCCCCACAAAAGCACTGACCAACACCAAAAAACATGATATTTATATGAATGAAAGTATTCACAGCATCATTTGTTTCTGGAGAAGTGAAAGCGATTAAAATCTCAGGAGGACAAGCACAGACTCAAAGACATTTGCGATGACATGTTTGAACATAATGTGACATTGCAGGATGTCATCAACAAGTATATGGAATAAATACACGGGTGACATAACAGGAACGGAGACTAACACCGCATATTTACACAAAAGGTGCAAGGAAGTTTGGAAACAAATCAGGAAACGCCAAGGTAAGCAGAACAAGAATGAAGTTTGTGATATCATGATCTGCAGGAAGTATAAGATAACAAAAACCGAAAAACAATGTCCATTTCAGGTATGAAATTATTGATATTTTACATGCTTGGGTCACAGTTGCCAAACATCAAGACACGAGAAGCGATCACACTTTACGTTGGTATTATGAGAAGTCATGTCATCCTCGCTTTCTGTTGCACTTGTCATTCCGTTCAGGATTGCTCGATAGATTATGATGTCAGCATTTTTAATTGGCACCATGATTGATTTCTCGTGAGTTTTTATGGACTGCAAATCACTAGAGCAAAAGATTTAAACAGGGTCAAGCTTTACAAATACAGTAGTGGCATAAATGAAGAGTTCAACGAGAGGTGTATTCACAAGTACTTTGAAAGAAAGGTGTTAGCGTACAAAGAACAGGGTCGGAAAAACCAATTTGAGATCCCAAAAGAAAACTACGTGGATGCTGAATGGTTGAAGGACAATGTCAACGGCAAACTGTGCACGTGGGTTTGTTTCATCATGGGTTCTGGCAAAATAAATTCCAATCCGACGTGTCAAAGGATGTGCAACTATCTGCCTCATACAAAAAACAATGTCATTGCCTTCTGTGCTTCGTGCAATCGCTGTTTCAGTGACAAAATTCAGTCACAAAATAGCATGTTGATATTCCTTTTTTAATATCATATATATGTATGAGTAATTAAGACAAGACAACCAGTGATATCTATTACGATCGCGCTGGGTTTGGGTCTCAATAAATAAGTCACACACCAAGACCCCAAGAGAAAAAGGCGCATCCATAACTACAAGATGTCAAGGAGTGGGTTGAAGAAAAAGTGGAACAAAAAACAGCTGTCCAGATACAACTCGTTTTTATTGCACCCAATATCAACTATGAATATCATCTGGATCTATTTGTTATATCAAAAAATGAGTAGATAATCAATCACATAGGGTAGGCGAGTTGCTTATTGGTTTGTCTCTCGTAAAGCCGTGGTGGCGCCTATCGCGTCTAGGCAACCTGCTGGCATCACCGCTAGGATCATTGTCGGAGGGTTTAAAGGAAAAGCCATATTAGGCACCCGCATGTCCCCGAGCGTTTCATTAGGACGTTCAAGGGCATGCTGTTTAACAAGGTTGATGCAGATATAAAAAGAACAAGGGTGGCTACAGGGTTGGAGATGAGGTAAATATTTATCGTAAGAAGGGATTTTCGAGAAAGAGAGAACCAGTGAGTGGAGCGGTGTCAAATGCAAGGTGTCAAGGACTGAGAAAAAACTTGGTGAAGACTACTTTTCTGCTGAAGGATGTTGAAGGGATTAGTCGCCCCTATTTGAGGTCAGAGATTCTGAAAATCTAAACAGTTCTAATAAATGCTGGATTGAGCCATCTTCAACGCCCGATTGAAAAACTTTCAACACCCCAAGTGAAAAGTTTCAACACACCCCTTGAAAAGTTTCAACACCATGCCATATTTTACTGGGGTTGTTGACATGAGTTGAGTTAGCCCTTTGGATTCCTTTTTCCATTGCTAACCACTTCTCGGGGAGCGATAAATAGTTGAAAATATAAGGCTGAAAACATCTAAAGGCAAGGTGTCTTACTATAGTATGGAGAAGAAACTGTGTTCAAGATGTAGGTATGGGAAAGGTGAAGACAGTTTCGTGTGTGGACTCAGAAACTGAGATCAATGCATTCATCAAAAGCGACACTACCAAAACAACCTGTAGACAACCGGAAATAACACTGGAAACAGTATTTTAGAAGCAAACCGTGATGAAATCAATCGGAAGAGCAGAGAAAAACGGCAAAACAGATTTAGATGCTGTGATGTTTCTGCAAGAAGGGTGTATCCAGAGAAGTTGGATTTCCTTCTTACTTGGAGGTTGTCACCAAGAAAGTATGACGCAGCAAAGCAAAACGGCATATGACAAGCTAGTTGAAGAAGCATCAAGAAAAAGGCAAAGGAGAAGCTTCTGACCAAAGGGGAGGAGAAGATTGAAGAGATCAAAATGACAATGGCTTTGTATAGTCCGCTTTGAGGAAGAAGAAGTTGTCAGGAGAATGTTGATGAGTTGAACCAAAAATTGATTTTGGGGCGCTTGAATTGTGGGGGGGTGGAAAAATCACGCCGGCTGTGGTCAGCGGTGAGGGTGAAACGATGTTGTGGCTGAAGGAGTTCCGCCGGGTAGTTTTGCAGCTACGCTGGCCAACACGTCGCGCAAGAGCTCTTGGATGCCTCCCTCGACAAGCAGGACGGGCGCAGCCAAATGGGCTTGTTCACATAGTCCCGCATGTCATCCCGCAGGCTGTGCTTGGTCAGAGTGAGGCCGCAACTTGTCCGGCAGCTGCGCCCAGTCCTTGATGTCGAAGTGGCCGTCAATGTACTTGCACAGCCGGTCGGAATGCTTCTCCCTTCCTGGCCAATAAAGCAGGAAATCAAAAACACGTGGGCAGCATATTGCCCACACCGTGGTCCTATCCTCCGGGTTCAGCAGGATGAAGGTGCGATCCGCGTCAGCTGATGCGGCCTCAAATCTGGCCCAACACCGCGGGCAATCCAGCTGGCGCTCTGTCTGCTTCCCGCTCAACAACGCGGCACTGACATTGAACCCTCTGCTAGTCCACTGGCGGATAGTGCTCTTCACCATCCTTACTGCCATTCTGAGCTCAGCGGCCGCCTTGGCTTGGTTCGTCGCTCCTCCTCGAGCCTCAGCCTTCTGTGGTGTCGCTCTGCCTGAAAGCTTGCTCTTCCTCATTAAAGTATCAAGGATCCAGCTCCTTCCCGACTTTCAGCTTCAGGATCAGAGCTTCGCTCAGCCGTTCCTCTTGTAGGAGCATCTCAGCCCACAGGCCAGGGTGATCACAGAAACGGAACCCTCCTCCTTACCACATTCTTACATCAATATGGCTTGCCAAGCTCCTGTCCGACCATGACCGCCACACGGCCTCTGTGGCGGCTTCTGCGTCCGCGCCAAGCAGCTTCCTCTTCACCAAGCCACACGTTCGCCTTCCCTCTTTCACAGCTGCGCCTCCAGTCTGAAATTCCAAAGCCCTCAGCTGTTGTCCCTGCAAAAAGTACCTTCTTAAACTTCTTTCTCACTTCTTCCTCTCTTCCGCTTGACGAACATCATCTAGCAGTCTGCTCGTTCTCGCTGCGGCCTCACTCTCCGACCGTCTCTCAGCCTCCTCCAGCATTCCCTCAATCTGCTGGGCAATAGGCCAGGGGTGTGAGGAACTCAAATCCGATTTGCCATTGGCGCTCTAGGCAGAGCCAGCAGGTCCGTGTAGTCTGAGGCCTCCCGTCGGGATGTCCAGCATGTCCATCCACTTTGCCACATGCCGCGCAGCCATGTCATGAAGGCGGCCCCGCATGTAGTCCATGCCCTGAGGCGGCGTTGGCTCAACCCCTGCCTCTGTGAGCGGCAAAACTTGTTCTCCGCCTCATCTCCGCAGTGCGTCAGGGACCTGTCCACCTTCAGCGGCGCGGCCGCTGCACCGCACGCAGGCAGCCTGAGAACCCCAAACACCCTGCTCCGCTACCAATATGGGAGCGAGCTCAAAAACCCCGAGCGAAAAAGATGCCACCCCAAAAAGAGCAAGGTCCTAATTAGGGGCAGTAAGAAAGCAAAGCAGGCAATGCTCAGACCGAGGGCCTTTTGCTGCATGAGTCTGCGCAAATCTGCGGAGGATGCGGATCAAGCTAACAACTCAACCAAGCTCACAAAAGGAACATTGAGAACGATGTCGAAATCAAACCTGGCTTCCCAAACTGCATTTTCTCCCAGTGTGTCATGCGCACACACACACACGCATACACAAAAACTCTTCTCAGGAGCTCCCCAGTGCTGAGTGGGGGTCTGATTTCTGAAAAAGAAAGCATTCACAGTTCTTGCTGCTATTTTGCAACCAGACAGACTCTCTCGCGCCTGAGTTGTCTTGGCAAGGTCGTGCGCCCGTGTTGTGGGTAGCAATATGCTCAGGAGTGCCTCCTGCAGACCCCAGCTGCTCATCATCGGATTCTGCCTGCGTTGGAAAAACTGGTTTGCTCCAAGGCATCCGCAGTTTTCCATTCGTCTTTGTTAACCACCCGCATGCTAGTTGCGCTTCGGTATTCTTTTGACATGAGTGCTTCTTTTCCGTAATGCTGGGATCAACCTGGCGCATACCAGATAATTCGTCAACGCCACAAAACAAAGTGCTTTTCCAGGAAGAAAGCCTTTTGATTCCAAAAACTTGGCACGGGGTTGCGTCTAGCCCCCCCTTACAAGTCCACAGCAAACGTATCTGGGCAACACCAACTTCCTCTCACGCCAAAACGCTGATTTGGTTGGCTGAACCCGCATGTTGCGAGATACCGGCGGGTGAGACGGGCGCCGCTGCGCGCGGGCCCTGCGGCCAGGGCCCCGGCCCTGCGTGCGCCAAGATCTCCCGAAAGGCCGGGGTGAAGGCGGCGGAGAAGAGCCAGTCTGCCACGATGTCCAGCAAACCTTGTGACGTCAAGCGGCGCCAGCATTCTCTTTATTGAAGCGGCGGCCTTTCATGCGGTCAAGGTCATGCTTCCAACGGCACAGTGTTGGGGCCCTGTTCAACCTTGTTTTCATATGGCACCAAACTATGTCTGCTCAAAGTGTGGACGTTTTGTTTCTTGAGGACTGGAATTGGGGCTGTGTGTTCAGTTTCACTTGGGTCGGGATTTATTAATTTGCTTTTGTTTTGTGTGGGATGTTGTTGTCTTTCTCGTCTTTGCCAGAAAAATGTTGCATTTTACAGATTGTAATTTTTTGCAAATTCAAACGCACCCCTGGTTGAGAACCTTTGCTGAACCGTCTCTTGTTCGACCATCATGGGGGCGGCCGAGGAGGACGTTGGTAGCGGTGCTTGGTCCCGGTTGTGGTTGGAGGTTGCACCTGTGAGTGTGCCGCGAGGCAATTTCTGTCTGATGCAGAGTTGCGTACGATGTGTGAGAATAGACGAGTTTTGAGCTACAATGGCTGCACAGAGGTCAACACAGCAACACGTACACGGCACAAATTTCTTTTGACCTCTGGCATCATTTAAACACAATGTGGCCATTGGCCATAGTGGCATATATGCCGTAGCCTATACGAATGTGACCAAATCTATTCCACGTCATTTGCACAAGCTTGATGGCATCGTCGGACGATAGACCTGATGGAATTTGGTGAAGCTGTGCGCGGATTTGCTACCATTCCAGCGATCGTATGGCGCTAGAACTCTGTCTGTTGTCGTAGTCCTGGGCTCTTCTTCTTGATGTGACTGATGATCTCCGGTTCTTCCAGCATGCCTTGATGCGTGTGCGCGGAGGCAGATGCTGATGATGGCGGTCCCGGCGGAATTCCTTCGTGAACATGTATTCTCCAGTTGTGGCCAAGCAATCGATGGTCGGATTGCTGCATTCAGGACCTTGTTCTTCACAAGTGGTGCTAAAGTGGACAACCATTTAACCACAATTCACACGGCCATTCTGTCGCCGCCATGAATATCGCTTTTCACGGCCATTGCCGTTTTCACGACCATTGCTTGCACTTTGCACGTTTTCACAATTGCGGCCTGATTCTCACGGCCATTCACGCGTTTTTCACAGCCATTCGCGCGCTTTTCACGGCCATGTCACGCATTTTCACTGCCATTCGGTCGCTGCTGCGATTCAATTCACAGCCATCGCCGTTTTTTCGCGGCCATTTGCCCAATCGACCAGCGACCCCAGGACACATAGCCAAATCTGGCTGGTCCTTGAGGACATGCTTTTTATGGTTTTTCAGGGCCCGTGCTTCCCGCAAAACATCGCGCGTTTTAAGACGCGGGCCCTACACAGATTCTCAGATGGTCAGGGTCACACAAAGACGGCCAAACCTTACCCGCCTTGGCGGCGCCCGAACTAGCAATCATTTCGGGCTCGACTCGGTGAACGAATTCGGGGCCCGAAAATTGTTCGCATTCGTCCACCGAATGTGTGGACAAGCGCCCCGCCGCCCCGAAAAGCTGCAGTCATTCCAGTTTCCAAAGGATGATCTATGCAGAATTCGACATGGTTAATTTCAGATGGCTGTATCATTCAGGTCCCGAAAAATGGATCCATTCGGGCGCCAAGTAGGTTTTTTGATGTGTATTTCAAGCTTTCTTTCATTCTGCCTTCTTTCTGTCTCTCGCCTCCCGCAGCCCTCCCCCCAGGAAAAAAGAGGAGAAATTGGGCCTCTTGGGGTAGTGTTGTAGCTATTCAGGACAAATTTACCAAGATTGCATGTTAACTTCTCTTCGCTCCTGCACGGTTTTCTCATAAAGGTCAATAGTTGAGTTCGTGGGAAATGTTCATGCAGGTGAACAAATATAGTTGAACATGTGTCTTTATCAAATCGTATTCACAATCTGTTCATTGTTCTGTCTCATTGTCTTTTTTCGTTGTTTCTTATGTTTATTTGTTTCTTCGTGTCTTGATTTCACCGGTGCTACAAATTGAGTTCTTTTAATCCAGACAGTGCATTGTTGCGTTCAACCTCTTCCCTTGCTTGTCCAAAATGATATCTTGAGTTCGGTCACCATATTCTTTCCCTTCTTGTTGGATTTGTTCCTTGCACCTTTCCCTAGAAGTTTTTCTTGTTCTAAAATATTGTCTCTGTTCTGTTCTCGGTATTGCTTTTTAGCGCCTAATATTTCCTCATGGTTTTTGTGATACTAGTCTTTCTGCATTCTAAGGCACTTTTTACAGCATTGGTTTTCATTTTCAAAGCCAGTTAAAGGTTTCTCGTCCTCGCAAGTTGAACGTTTCCTGGTTTCTCCTATGGTGTCAGCCTATTTTCCAAAAACACTTATTATGGCGTGCCAAGGTAATTTCAAAACCCCGAAACAACAAAGGAGTTCAATCTTGGTAACTTGCCGGGGGACCCGACCCAAGCAGAAGGGGGCCGACTATCAACCAAACAACGTTCACCAGGCGACCTCCACGCAAACTTGGAGAGGGCAGGTCCTCAAAACGCGGTTTGTGTTGATGGTCGGTTCCTTAAAGAGCCAAAATGATCCGTCGGCTGGGTCCATGCACAGGACACCCCCAAAGCTTCCCAAGCCACATGGTGTTTCAAAGGGGCGTCACTGGTCTGAGAGGGAGATGAGCCAGACAATCTCCCCTTCAAGACAGTCTCCTTCTGCCCCCCAGCCCAAGACTTCCACTAATTTGTTTCCGATTTTTCCACGCCTGTGTGGTAGTCGCAGTTTGCGGCAATGGCGAGGATCACGTCTTTCGTCAGCAGTTTCCGGAAGTATTCTGTGGCCTCCAGCCCGATGTAGCTCTTCAGCTTCGTGAATGTGAATGCACGGCTTTTCCTGGGCTGGTCCAGACCCCCCCAATAAATCTCCCGAGCATAGTGCACTCCAAGGAGAAACGGCGAACAAACCACACGCAGGGGCAAAGAAACCATACAGATTCCTACGGAGGTGAAACGCATAAACCACACGAGACTTGCAGCCTTATCCTTATAAGCTTTTACCCTACTTCAGACTCACCGCATGGTTTGATGTGATAACGGAGGTTGCGAAGCATGTCACACAAAGTTTCTTCTCATCCCGAGTTTTATTCAGGCCTGAGTATTCTGAGTTGTCATGATTATTCTGTTCGTCTACATCGCGCAATGCAGCGGCATGGCGAGCGTCACGACCTAGTAAGACCCTGGGCAGTTACATTGGTCCGGAAACGGGAGAGCAGTATGGGGACAGCAAGGGCGCATGGGGCGCAATCGATCAATCAACCAACCAACATCAACCAACCAATCAATTGATCAATCAATCCAATCCAATCCATCAATCAAACAATCAATCAATCAATCAATCAACCAACCAACCAACCAACCAGCTAACCAACCAACCAACCAACCAACCAATCAGTCAAGTTGCCCAGAAACAACGGCTCAACCAGTTTTTCCTGCTACCGGACACTCAATCAAGCTCCGCCCGCGGCATCGTCTTCCACGTTCCGTGAGTGGAAGCAACTCTACATCTTTGATATTTGCTTCTTGCTGGACAGCACGGGTGGGACACAACCCAACTCATTGTTGCAGCCAGTATCGATCTCGACTCACATTTGAAACACACAGTCTTTGCGCTGACGTTTGACGGCCTGGTCCGCCTTCATGATCGCCCCTGACCCAAACAACACCGCGCCTCGAATCCGCTCAGCCGTTGCAAGTACATCCGTCTTCAAAGTCCTCGATTCCCTCATCATCGTCGAATCCTTCACGAAGACCGGACCACGTTCTCTCCACAACGTGCGCATGACTGAGTCCACTTCAGAGCCACGTAAAGCTCCGCGCTCGATGTTTGATGACGGAGGTGCTCCATGATCTAGCGCTTCACGCGGGATACAAAGCGCTTGCTCTTTCGCATGCTGTTGTATTGTTAGTTGCAGTGGCTTGCTTGATACGCACATGATGTTGCGCTCGCCGTCATTAACCTATAGCTGTATTTCAGCTCAACCTCGGCCTGATGATGCTTCTGGAGGCCAGCCAAGTCGGCCATGGATTGAGCACAAATGGGTCAACAGATTCCACCCGCTACCTCCTGTTCATTGGGATGATTCGCGGGTTGCCAACTCTGCCTTACAACTTTCGGGCTTGGCACAATGACGGTGACATCATTGATGACACGAATCGTCCTTATGATCAGCCTTGGCAGCGCCGGGATGAACACTGTCTGCGATGGATCATTCAAGATTGGCGCGCTGGATCATGATCCTTCGAGCAGCTCCACATTGACGACGTCGCGAGGGTTTCGAGCAAGCGGAGTCGACTGGCAGATCATGTCGGCCCTCCTTTCATCTTTCTCTCCAAAGCAGCCGCCTCATTCCACGGCACAGTGGAGAAAGCGACAGGATCCACGAACACCGCCGTCTGAGAGGCCAGTGAGCGCTGGTTAAATTTTCTTGGGCCTGCGTAATCTGCTTCCTGGCTTCTTCCGGAAAATACTTTTCTTTTCGCCCCTATGGGGGAGTGAGTGTGTGTGTGTGCGCGCGGGGCGTCAGAATTACCCTGACGCCAACGGCTTTTTTTCAAGGGTGGAGGCACCCGCGTTTCTTCTCCACCAACGAAGCTGGCAATGCGTGGTGAGGATATCGGTTGGGACGCCAACCCACGTACCTGCAATAGTGATGTTTCTGAATGTCCATTTGGCCTTCTGGCTGTCTCGCCGTAATTCTTTCTGTTGTGAATGTAACGTTTTCGCACCAGAGAGAAGCCATCGACCTCGCCACTCGAAACTTACCCACCCGAAACTTACCCAGCCGCACTCAAACTGACTCGAAGATTAGCTCAACTCGTCGAGGTTCAAAAGAGTTTGCCATCGCTAATATTACTAATATTTGAGGAAGATATACTGGGGCACCGGGTCAAAGGACCGAAATAATCAAACTGGGGCACCGGGTCAAAGGACCTAAAATAATCAAATTGCATTCCCCCAACAAAGGACCTTCGTGGGTTTCAGATCGGTGAGCTCGAGCACTGTCGCAGAGAAAACCGGTGCTGGCTTCTTGCCAAAACTCTCGGCCGACGTTGACGCAAAAGCGAGGAATTCCACCTCGGAATCTGAAGTCCTCACCTGTGCGCAGTACTCGGCCGCCTCCTTCAGGCACCTGATCAAGGTGGGACCTGAAGAACACATGTTACAACACATATCCTTTGGGTTCCTTTGGTATCTCTCCTTTGGGGTCCCGATGAAGCAGCCGAAACATGAAAACAGGCTGCCTCTTCAAACCCGGCGCATTCAATTTTCCCATGGCCTTTTGTGAAAGCAGCTCATGGCGACTGTCCGTTGCCTTTTGCAACCACCCCCTGGTGTCAGGTCTGCTTTTTGCATGGTTAAGCCGCTGTTTCATCCTCGGCGTCAAGCGTGGCCAACACGGTTTTCCGTTAAAAGGCTTCGTGGTAAGTTGTTAAGGCCCACGCCCCGCGCCTGGTTTTGCACCTGCGGATATTGGGACGAACCCACATGTGGCGGCACTTGGGGCAGAAACCCCCCTCGTCGAAATGCTCGCCGGCTTTGCCCCGACACGTGGGCAGCGAGCAGTTCCTTACGCGCAACGTCTCCCAGAAACAAACAAATATCATCTCCTTTATTGCATGTTCCAAACAAAAGTGTTCTTTGGCTTCAACATGAAAGAACGTGCAACAAAAGAGATGATATGTTCCTTGCACAAACACTGGTAATTGACCACAAAGCAAGCTAAATCACACGTATACACATATACATATATACATGTAAGGTATACTATTCATTATGTGCAATATATATATATATATCTATATATATATATATATATCTATATATAAGAGGTCCTGAGGGAAATGTGGTGGTCAAGCCAAATGCGTCTTGTCTCGTTTGGATTGTCTTTGGTTTCCCTCGAGGTCCGTGCAGATTCGGACGCGTTTCCCGGCCACCTTTACGGAGGCCAGAGTCTTTATGCAGTCACCTGCGCTTGGGGATGGAGATGGCACGGAAGAGAGACTCCCAAAACGGCTCAATCATGTACTTGATATCACCCCATGCCCTTTTCTTGGCACATATAGTTGCTTGGAAGGGGAGGGGCACTTGTTCATCTCTCATCCCTCCTTCACTTCCGCTCTTCTATGCTGCAAGCGATTGAAGGGAGTGATGGATGAGGATAGAATGGATAACAAAAAGAACCAAAGACCTCGCTGCACACATATCTGGATTTGCAGTTTCTTTTTGTTACTCTATTCACCGACTTTTAGTCTATTCATATGTCCTCCTGCCACCAAGCCATGATGAGAAGTGGAGCTCATCCATGGAAAAGGGCCGAAAGAGTTGGAACGATGCTGAAAGATGCCTAAGACTTGTTTGTGTCCCATCAAGCAGCAAGCTGCCTTTACCCGGAATTTACAACTCGGGGCATTGGCCTCTCTTCCTCTGGCAGCCCACCTCCGGGAGGGATCCCAGGATTCCATTCATGTGCCGAAAGTTTAAAGCCTACAGCTGAAGCAAGACTGACAAATCCCCGAGCCGGAACAAACAATGAAAGAACAACGCGACAGACTTAGAACAACATCTGAAGGCAACAGAAGACAGAAAACAACCATCTAGGAGAAACATCTGACATCGTGTGACACCTCGCTGCCAAGTAGTAGGTGTTTGGGCATGTGTGGAACCTTTGTCGAATCAATCAGCACAGATCTTGCCAGTCCCAAGAGAACCATGGCCCTCGGCTAACAAACTCGCCAGCGCCGGCTCTGAATGGCAACGAGGGTTCGCCGGAAACAAAAGTTGAGCCAAATACCGCGTTCGGTACTGGCGTTCTGATACAAACGTATGATAAAAGCACTATAAAGACACCCTTCGCCTGTATAAATGGCGAATCTGGTAGGGCGGCATTTTAGCCTGAGGAATAACCAGCAGAAAGAGCCGATTAGGTTTGACGGCGTAGGCAGGGTGGTCGCGCTTTCGAGACAAGCCGTTACGCCGTTGAAAGAAGCTAGGCTGTTGCGCGGTTAGATGAGGCTACCCATCTGCTATGCTGTTGGTGGTTATGCCGCTAGGCGGCGTGGTGCTCAGGTCGGTTTTGTGCTTTTCGACACCGTTGCCCGGCGCCAGGCTGCTAGATCTCGGGCTTACAATGTTCTCGGCGCGATGCAGCTGTTACGCCATTCCACAAAGCTACTAAGCTTTTACCCGGCTAGACTAAGTGCTTTCTCTACTGGCTTTCTCACTTACTCGCTTGACGTAGTCGCCTTATCGCGTATCAGCTTGCCCCCTGGTTTTAACCGCTCACCCCACTTGCTTAATCGCATACTTGCTGATGCTAGTTCTTTAAGTGCTAGCCTGATGGTTTTACGGCTTCATCGCTTGGTCGCTTCGTGGGCAGGCTGGAGCAGTACGAAGAACAGAAGCCGTCGTCTTCCCATGAACAGCGCCGTTCGCTGCCAGGGTTTCAGCAAAATGCCACGGCCACAAAAAGAAAGACCCTGGCTACAACACTCAAAGAAGAAGAACAATCCGTGGTCACGGCGTGGCGCATCATGGCACTAAGCACTGGATACAAGAGGGCGACAACTCAAGAACATGTAGCATTCTCACGCAAAAAGCGTTTGTTTTGCGGCAGCACCCCCGGCATCGTATTTAACATCCCCAGCATTGTTCTCAACATTTGGCTTTGATTTAGGTTTTGGTTTAGGCTTTGGTCTAGGGTCGGTTTAGGCAGCGGCTGTGTTTTGGTGGCCTTAGGGTCGTTTCGAGTAGTGGTGGTTTGGTTTGTTTGGGGGGGGGGGAAGGGAAGATCATACCCTATGTGTCGTTCTGGCTGAACGGAGCTGTGAATCGAATATTCAATTGAAATCCAACTATTGGAACTGAATTCCAAAAGCTGGAATGATTACAAAATCCGGGACCCTCAAACATTGCAATTACTGCACATATTGGAATTAGTTGGCGTGGCTTGAGGCCAAGTCTGGAACTAGTCAATCATTGCAATTCTCGCAACCATTAGAACTGAACTCCAATCATTGCAATACTGGGCGAACCAAGCGCGCTTTCTCAAAGCAAGCGAGCAAAGCAGCTCACCAAGCGAAACGATTCGCAGCAGCAGCGATTCCGATTCCCACCAGATTCACACCCAAGAGGAAGGCACAGCCATCTGAAGCGGCCCACGCAAGACGGACTGGCAGCGAGGGATTTCAAAAGTCCTTAAGCCAAGTACCGCGTTTGGAGGGCATTCTGATGCACAGTGTACGCCCATAAAGACAAAAAGCAACGAGCACATTTTGCCCCTACTGCATGCCTCACTGCATGCTGGGGTTCTGTACCGTCGCCGCTTGGACGACTGAATGCTGGCCGGAGACGAGATCCTCGCCGCAGCAAGCCTGTTTCGATTTGTTCCTGTTTGCCGGGGTACTTTTCATGGTCAGGGTGCTGTCACTTTTCCATTCTTGTATTTTGCGCCAGCCGATCCGGCAGTGAAAGAGCACAAAATCGCCAATAATTCCTTCCCGTTTGAATGAACCCCGGCCCTAAAAAATCAAACTTGGGAAAGGTTCCTGTCGTCTCAAAGTAGGCCCGCCGAAACGCAGTCAGTTTCCTCTTGGTATCCCCTTGAACTTCAAACAGGGACCTGGATAAGTCTTACCCGCGACTTGAAAATTGGTCTTGCGGGGCACCCCCCGTAATGAGGCATTGAATCGACCAGAAATAGGTCTTCTGTGGGGGGAAACCCATAGCTTTATCTCTGGTTCGGCGGTCGCCAAATCAGAAATTGATCAATTTCTGTGGGAACTGAAACTTTGTGCGCATACCCACAACTGAGGCCCCAATTTTGTTTTCTGGCCTTTGGTTCTTAATATTCGTGCTTGTGGGAACTGCGTCGTGTGTTTTGCGTTGAGGAAACAACATGACAATTCGGCCAGGCGTTTGTCGCAACCTGACAGCTCTTTGCAACTGGGCTTTGAACTTCGGCCCAGAGGTGCAACGGCTCCTTGGAGCTATCACAAAAAAGAAAACCATTCCTTCATCAGGTGCCCTGGCTTACCCCCTTTAAAGCCCGGCCACGCGGGCAACAGAAAGCCCCCGTTGTTTGGAACAACCCTCAGCTGTGCCGATTGAAGCAAATACACTGAAAAAGCGCTGCCAATGCACCGCTGCCATAGAAGGTCTGGGAAAACGACGCCAACTTTCCTGTTTCCTACTAGCGCTGGATCCTTGTACTGCACCTCAAGCTCCAGTGGACGCATCGGGAAGAGCCGTATCTGAGCTGCGTGTGGCCGCGCGGCCAGCTTGACTCAAAGACTCAGCCAATTCAAAACCTGTGGCGCTCAGTCAATGCAAAAACCTGAACAACAACCTGAGCAACACGGCTCATACCCCGGCAAGCTCATTAGCCAAGTTTACCTGTTGCAACTATCCCAAACTAGGCTGAACAGTGCATCAAAGTTGACGCCCAGTCCAAAAACACGTCAACAAAGCTCGCAGCTGGCTTAAAGAAGAGCAAGAAGTACTCAACACTGGCCTGAAACATACATAGAACACACTCAAAAACATGAAGCAATGAGCAAAGCAAACCCTCCAATCAAACAGAACAACGCAACCCGCTCAAACAAGAGATCTCGCCCTAAACCCAAGACGCGTCGTGCGTGTACTTCACCAAGATATCCGCGTGGACCACTGGCCGCCAGGTGTCCAGTTGCAGCGCAATTGTGGGCCGTGCGCCGCACAAGCTGAACCTGGGCCGACAAATGGGCCGCTTCAATTGCGTTTAGCAGCCCTCAAGGTGGTTGTGCTGTCAAATGAGCTCTCAAGTTGCATCTGCATCATACGTATCTATTAAAAGTTGTCAAAATCGAAAACTCAAAAACCAAAGCTCCTGAAACCCCTTGAAGCACTAAAGCCTAAAGCCCAACACTCTACAAAAAAAGTAAAGCCCTGAAGCCGAAGAAAACGTTGTGGGGACAGTGTGCGTTGCGGTAAATTACTTCCCTTCGGGCTGTCCCTATCTAGGAATTTGCGCAACCCTCTCGAAGTGTCCATATGGGCCGTCTTGACCTTCGTACGCCAGCTTTTGGGGAGCATTTCTGACTCGGAACTCTGCAAGAGGTGCCCAACAAAAGACGGTGCTCCCTTCACGAAGCGCTGACGAAGAAAAGTAAGAAAATTCTCAAGTCCATGTTCTGGACCAAGCTCTGCATTGGATCAACGAGTGTCTCATTCTAAAGAAGCTCAGAAACGACGATAGTGACCCAGCCCCACACCAGATCTTCACACCGAAACCCGCTGAAGACTCAGCCGCCAAATGGCTCATCACTAAATTAAGACCCCCTGGCCGTGGCGAATCTCTCCACTGGACATCTCTGACATGTCCCCAGGTCGAGATGTGTGCAATGGCCGAGTCCCCGAAACACCAGAACCACCCAGCCTCCCCCCCACCGCGCCTCCAAGCCTTCTGAGTGCAAGGTATGGAAGGGCCGTCAAACGTCCAGCGCGAATCCGGTCCCAGCATGAGACCTGCAAGCCGACGAAGCTGAGTCCATTCTGCGGCATCTTTACAAACACGGGCAAAATGATGACAAGTACGGAAGAACTCCTCGACACGCGTACCACATTCGTGGGCCCCATCACACACTGCGGCAACTTGAGCGCGCCTTGTGGTGCCCTTTTTGGGGTTGTGTTCCTCAAACAAAAAGTTTTTGGAGGCGGAGAAGGTCATTTGGAAAAGAACACGCCGAGCTGCAAGTCAACTTCACTCGTTCCCAGCTCCAAACTCAGAGCCATGAACATGGTAACTATGACCTGATTCACGCGCTCAGGCCACCAGACAAAGCAAACGCACGCTTGCTCCCAAACAAAAATACTCGCATTCCAAGAGTAATATGTCTGAAGTGATCACTGTGTGGGAAGCATGTGCCTTTCTTCACATAAACCCAACAGCAATTCTTCCGTGTTCTCGGGGGCCATAGTTGCGCTTGGCTTTCTCCATCACTCTTGGCCAAGATGGATGCCCCCACACAAGTCTGAAGGGCGGTCCCCTGGATTCGAACATGTGCCTTAGGACGTCTTTCTGGTGTTACGCTTTGGGAGGTAAAAAACGAAAGGAGCCTGCGTGATGGCTCAGGTAGCCCTTGTAGATTCATCCCCCTCAAGGATTTGCGCTATCTTCACCCAAATGCCCCATGCAATGCTGACCGCCTCATGGGGGGGTCTCAAGTATCATTGTCACCAGCGACATTAAGATGCTGTCACAAGCTTTTCTTGGGCCCTGCATGAGAAGTTGAATCCCTTGTTGTTTTGAGAAGGCGAATGTGATCCGGATCGAACGCTACCCCCGCAAAAGCTTCATAACTGGTCTCACTGAGCATGATGCGTGCAATGGCCGGGGGCCTCTTGGGATGAACTAATTCCCAGAAATAGCAAATTTCCCACCAGCGACGCCATATGCGCATAAAATTGCGTGTCAGAGCACTGCCTGCGAAAAACACAACTACAACAAAATGAGGGAAGGAAAGGCAGCCACCCATCCAGGCAGTTCGATTGTTGGGAGGGGGGGGAGTGATGTTTGGACCCAAGTGCACATTCTGCAGGGCTCCTAGCGCGGTACGACCCACTTTCCGGTGGGGTGGTTTGGAGTTTGGTATCAATCCGGACCAACCCCGGAACGCATTGGGCCATGCTGGTGATCCCAGATTTGTTGGCGCGCTGCTTCCACTCAAACTAAAGGATTCCCCCAAGGGTGAATTTGCCCCTGTGATTTTTGTTCTGGCGACAGTGCTGATTGTTCTTCGAAGCAGCAACTTCACTTCAACCCACACCTGGTATGTGAGCAAAACCTGCCTCTTACGTCTAAAGCCAGCATGTTGCCTGCAAACCTGCAACACACACTGGTCATAAGGGAAACGCTAGACATGAACAACAACCCCAACAAGTAAACCGAAGACAGCGCAACATGCAACACCAAAACTTGCAGTTTACCCATTCGAACTTCAGCTGAATAGAAACAATGTTCAACCCAAACCTAGGGTCCAAACTTGTTCTACCGCTAGCTTTTCTTAGGAGGCCAAGATGTAAGATGTTGGCGAATGTTCAGCCAGACCGTGCTAAACGAGCAAAAACACAAGGCAAGGATGAGCAAACTGGTACTTCACACACTCAAGCAAACTGGTACTTCACACACTCAGGCAAACGGCTCTAGAACAAAACAAAAAGGGAAGCACGCGCTCACACACAGCGTGACACGCCAAAGAAAGCACGCAGAAACAGGTTTGAACCAAGCTGAGTCAAGTGGCCGAACTCGGGATCATCGAGAACCTCGCGGAAGGACAGCACGAAATACTTCCCCAATTTGCGGGGGTTGTAGGACACCTGGATCTTCACCCGCTGCTTGCCGGACGGGCTCCTCTCGCGAAAAGTCCAACATATAAAACCATCATCCAGAAGGAAGAGTGAGTGCACTGTTTACATGTTTGCACAAACATGATCTATGTGTGTATATGTACGTTCACCCCCAAAACCTCGCTGCTTGCGAGTTTTCGGGGTGAAAAGAACAAATGCTTTGCTTTAGGGAGTCTTACTGTATTGCTTTCCCCTTCTCGGTCTGCAACAGGTAAAACTTCTAGTCCCCTGAAACGCCCCCAGTAAAAAGTAAAACCGTAAAACTCCCAACACGTTGTTTCTACTACCGGGGAATTGTCGAAAAAGCAAACCGCCAGCCCCCAAAAGGATTTCTTTTACCACCAAGTTTTATTTTGCACGTTTCCCCTGCAAAAGTAAAAGAATAGAACTCGTCAATGTACTTTTCAATTTTCACGTGTCCAAACACACTGCTCTTCGCGTTTACTTTTACTGGGGACAAGTTAAAACCAAACTGCCTCAGGGAAATATGTCTTGCTAAACGAGTTTTACATAGTTAGGCGCGCTGTCTCCCTGCAGCGAACAAAGTTTAATGTTACCAGGGTTGCCTTCTGTTTTTCATGGATCCACAGTTCACTTCATTTCTTTTTAGACTTTTCCCAGTAGTAGTGGAAAGCGAACATTGCCTGAAGTAGACTCGCGCCCCTCTTCCCAGGTTTCCTTTGCATTGTTCACTTTAGACCTACGCTTACTAAAAAAGCTAGAAGAGATCAGCGTCCACAACGCTAAGCCAACACCAAATAAATATGGAACTGACGCACGCCAAGGCAATTTTACGCTTCATTCTCCCCAGCAGGCTTTTAGGAACACGTAAAACTCCCCACTAAGACAGCTTTTGCTTTGGGCAGCTTTGTTTCTTGTTAATGCCTTCGTGACGTGGACCAGTCACAAAAAATATCCCAGCAGAGGACCCTGCATGCAAGTGGCAAGTCAAGTCACACCGCGCGCAAGTCACTCGCGCAGGCCACTTTGCACAAGCGAATCTACGCAAGTCACGTTGCGCGAGGCGCCCTGAGTAAATCCCGGTGCGCCAAAGTGCTCCGCGCAAGTCACTCTGCTCGAGCTGCTTTGAGCAAGTCACTCCGCGCAAGGCGCTTTACGAAGGTTGCTCTACGCCAGACCCGTGAAAGTCTCTCTTGCGCAAGTCACTCGCCGAAATCACTTGTGAGCAAGTCGGCCACCACAAGCCAACCATCTATCTACGCAAGGTGCACGCAAGTCACAAGGCGCAAACCACTCGACTCGGCAGAAGCACCTCTAATCAAATTACACCAGCAGAGACCCCAAGCAGTAGAGGACTGACGGGCAAGCACAAACATGCCAACAGCTTGTGGCTTTCTGCGCTTCGACACGCATGAATCAAAATGATGCAATCGTGAACCCGGCACGAGTTGCGTTGCTGCGCGTGTGTTGCTGGCGCGCTTCGCGCTTCAGCGCCGCTCAGGAACTGAGGTTGGGCAAGCGCGTGCGATAGCGGGCGCGCGCGCGTGAACGCAAGTGTGGCTGTGCAAGGGCGCGGTCACATAGGCAGTTCAGACACACATGTCCAATTCAGACACACATGTGTGTGTGTGCACATGGATGTGCGCCCGTGAACACACACAAATACACTCACCTGCGGCACACGCATACATGTGTTGAGCTTGAAAACCAAAGTGTGCTTTTTGTAAGTTTAAAGCATACACACATGTGTACACCTAGAACACACGTATTATGTGTCCACCTACGACACGCTAATACGTTCACGTGGAGCACACATTCCGTTGTCAGCAAGAACCACGCAAAGAAGGTGCAACGTTTCAGACACGACTAGGTGTCTCTTTTGCTTTCCAATCCCCGATCGCGTCACAAAGTGACCCAGATAAATTAGGGATAATTCTGAAGGCTTCGGCACAGAAGGCTACGGCATTTGATTTGATTCCAGAGGTCAAGAAACACTTGTGTCTTGATTTTTGTTGACACCTTGACCTCTGTGCAATCCTTTTGGCTCAAGGGCCTTTCTTTTATCACCTCGTATGGGATTCCGCATCCAAGAAAAAGAACCTTGCGGCATACAGATCTACACATCTACTTTCCAGGCATCCATTGGTCAATGCATCCATTCGGTGTACATCAATAGGATCCTACTGAATACATCCAGGGCCACACGCACCGTTGCCATAGTGGACACGTCCTCCTTAGGGTCAAGTGCCTCCGGTTTGGGACTCACCCCCCCCAGAAAAAAAAGAAGGCAAGGCGGGGCGTGTAGGGTAGGGAATTTCTGGTTTAGGGTTCCAGGGTTCAAGGTTGAAATTATACAAGCGTGCAACATTTTTCGTTTTACACATGGAGTTTCTGCGGAATTTTCCTAAGATTTATCAACTTTTGTTTGTTTGTTAGAATTGCTCACTTTTCCAATGAGGGTATTAAACAACAACCTTATTCATTGCTGTTCTTCGATGATGTGGTTATCTTAACCTCGTTCATGTTCACACTTTCCAGGCTCATAGTCTTTGTTTCCATTGTTAAACCTGCTTCATTGTTCAAACACCTCACCCAATAAGTGTACTTTGACAGACGACCATTTATCTAATGTTTCAATCATATTATAGTTAGATAATATTAATAAACGATTTATTGCTATGTGTCAGTTTTATTGTGTTCTAACCGTATTTTCCATTTGTTTTACACTGTTAACATGTCTGCCTACGGCATATTTCTTTCTTACACCATTACAATACAACAAATCCACATATGTTTCTTCCCGCTTCTCGTTTGAATTGGCTAAAAGTTCAGTTTCATTTTCTTTGTACTATTCTTGACTTGTACATGTGTTTGCCTATCTTGGTTTTGCTTCTAAAAAATGTTACAGGTCTTTATTCCTTCTTAAAAACTATTAGAAAGAACAGCAGCAGAAATATCAGACAACTTTTCAGCATTGAAGAGATACGCCAACTCATATTTAATAACAAACATACCATTCAAGGGATACAAGGGGTTTATATAATTGACATGGCAAGAAAAAGGACTATCAGAATCCTGACAAGGAAAATCAATGAACATGTGTTTGATGTTGATGTCCTTTTTCGTCTCCACGAATCAGAATCGCCAATGAAGTCTTCAATGAGAAGCAGGAGGTACAACATTCTAAACACTGCTGAATCGAGAAAGGCACTTGACAATATGCCGGAAGATATTGAATTACACATTGACAACTCAGGACTCACAAGGTCAGGTTTTATAATAAACAAAGGCCATAAAATAAACATCCACTACGACAAATACAATCCAAACAGGGCAGGCAAATATATGCACTACCAGAATGGATTTCTAATAAACAGGTATGTATTAGCATTCAGAACGAAGATGAATTGCTTCGAAGTCTTCACGAAAGACCATCCACAACATATGAGACACTATAAATCATTGACTACCCAAAGCTTAATTGAATGGGATGGTGTAAATTGCCCAGCATCCAATGATGACATTGACACGTTTGAACCAAGTAAGCAAACTCAATTTCAGTTAATGGATGAAGATGAAAACCAGACCACCAAAGCAGGCTGAATAACGAACACTATGTTGTCATAGCAATCTACTACGACTTGGAAAAGATAATGACGAACACTATGTTTTAACCAAGGACTTCAACCGACTAATGGGTAGACAAACCAACAACCACCAAGAAAAGTTGTTTCGTTGTAGATACTGTCAGCACGGCTACAAATCAGGAAAACTTTAACATCTCATTTAATACAAGGTTAAAAGGTTGCATGGCGTATGGAATTCGACACACGGAATTACCAGAAGAAGGGACAACAATGAAAATTGAAAAGCACTTTAAGAAACTGAAAGCACCATTTGTTGTTTATGGTGATTTTGAATGTGTATCAACAGAAACAACAGATGGAATTCCGGGAACATGTCAAAATCATAAGCCCAGCTGTTATATGCTTAACCTTGTTAAGGCTTATAGTGAAGACATGAAACCTTATGTGTATAGGGGTGAAGATTGTACGGATATGTTTTGTGAAATATTAATCAATATTAGAGCCGATTAATGGAACAGGTGACAAACAAAAATATATATATGATTATGTCAGATCTGGATGAGATATAACACTTTTTAGCAAACAAGTGTTTCTTGTGCAATGGCACGTTCAACAAAGTAGACACGAACAAGAAGGCCGCCGAGCACTGCCACTTCACAGGAATGTAAAGAGGAGCGGCACATAAGTAATGTAAAAATGACTATTGCTTAGAATTGTCACATCCCAGTTTTCCTTCAATGTTAAAAAAGAAGGTGACTTGACAATCTCTAACCTTGAAGATTCAAATACAAAGACAGACAGCATATCAGTAATAGCACAGAACAGAAGTTTATCCATTAAGCAGTCTTGCGTTTTAAGACAGTTTCAGTTTCTTATTGTAGTCATTAGAAAAGTTGGTGAAACTACTGTAACTAAATATGAAGACAATAGACTAAGAACTGACTGGGAAATTCATTTCAGTTACTTCAAAGGCGAGTATATAAAAGACCAAAAAGACTTATTTTCTTAACAGAAAAGGGAGTTTATCGCATGATGATTGTGATGTCTGCAACAAGTTTGATGAAGGAGAACTTCCAGAGAGGAACCAATTTTATAGTAGATTGAGTGATGAAAAAGATATACGTGATGATGACTATAAAAGAACACCGTTGACATGGAAGCACTTTAACATTAAGAACCTTGGCGAGTATCCTGACTTAGTTGGCCAGAACATTCATCCGTGAACTGTCTTAATATGTTCTTGTTTGATTGATCATAACTTTGACGGGGTCATAGTCACTGAAGTCCATAAATTATGTAATAAATCATCGCAGATGTGCTCTGCTTTAGAATGTTAAAAAAAACTATCAGTATCTGTATTCAGCATCCTTATGTCATATTTGGGTTTCGTTATTTCATGATACAATGAACACATATGATGTCTTGATATATTTAAAATAGACATTCCCACATATTTTGGTTCATTTAGTGTAACTATGCTCTTCACCGTTTTTACTCCTATATGTTTTTTGTTGATGATGTGTCTGCAATTGAAACGCGGGTTATTTACGCAATTCTGGCAGCGTTCAGGTGTTTCATCCAAGTCAAAGTCTATATAATATAACCTCTTGTGTTTTCTAAAGTATTGCCATAAATCGCGTTGTTCACTAACATATACATATCTTTCTCAAATGATTTCATGTAGGGACAACGCGTATGGCTTTTTCAGTGTGGGGTCGCTCTCGTTTCGGATTTCTGACTAAGCATAACAATGAGGCGTAGACAGCCACGCATGGGCTTTCTGGAACGTAAGAGAGCCTTCTGCGGCCATTCATTTTTTGTTGGTGACGCCAGTGATTTTCACGGCTGGCAACGAACCTCATTCTCATGGTTGGCCACGCAAATTTTACAGCGTTTGGCAACGCATATGATTTCATCATGCTTGACAATGCATATGATTTCGTGGGTGGCGGCACTCTCGTGATCATTTTGCTTTTCTGACGATACTCAATCGCAACAGCGCATCATAGAAAATGGCCGTGCGCGGGCTTTCTGGCGGAACAACGACAGCGAGTCTTCTGTGTCATTGATTTCATGATGATTGGCAGCGCGCATGATTTCATGGTGGCTGGCAGCGAGTAGGATCTTCATGGTGGTTGGCAACGCGCTGGTTTCACGCCGGTTGGCAACGTGTATGATCTTCATTGTGGTTCGCAATCTCGATGGTTGGCAATATGATGGTTGGCAGCGCATACGCACACCATACCAAATAATTTCGTTGAACAGTCCAGGGGGCGCACCAACTCCAAAAAAGCGAGGCCACGCCCATCCAAGGGCTCCAGAAACTACCAGAGCATTGCTGGCAAAACTGCGGGTCAAACAAAAAAAGATGATGTTATAGAGTCAGTGATGTCTTTGATCCCGTTGGCGCCTCTGCCACTGCACCACCGTCTTGATCAGCTCCGGGTGGTTTGACGCTTCCAACAAATCCTTCACCCACGGCGTGCCGCGGTGCAAGGATAGCTCGTGTGAGTTCGCGGAGAAAACCTCAGCCCAGTGGAAACGCAAGCTTTCTGTGAATTCATTCACTCAGCTTGAAGGAAACCACGCCCCTCACTTTAGGCGCCGGAACCCCAAAAAGCCGCGTGCGCAAGCAACACGCGTCCGAACGCGTGGGGCTGGAATCGCTTCAGATGAGCAACGCTGGCTCCGGATCGGAGTTCAACCGTGAAAGCCAACTTCTCGTGCGACAACTTCTTGTTCGACACCAGCCTGCTGATATCGAAGACAAGCCTGCCCTCTGACTCCACCTAGCAACTGATGCAGCGATTGCAAGAACCCGGAGGTTCACGCCAAGACACCCCGGTGACCAAAAGGTGAGAAACTCAAGGGGTGGGGCTTGTATCTCCGATCGAAGAGTGAAAACGCGTGCCTTCAATGAGGTTCCCTTCTCAGGCCCGGCTCTTTCCAGCCCCCATCTCTCCCATCTCTCGCCAGATCAAGGGCCATAACGAGTGCTAGAGAGAGAGAGAGAGAGAGAGAGAGAGAGAGAGAGAGAGAGAGAGAGAGAGAGCGAGAGAGAGAGGGAGGGAGAGAGAGAGGGAGAGAGAGACAGAGAGAGAGAGAGGGGAGAGGAGGGAGAGGAGGGAGAGGAGGGAGAGGAGGGAGAGGAGGGAGAGGAGGGAGAGGAGGGAGAGGGGGAAGAGGAGGGAAGAGAAGAGAGAGGAGAGAGGAGAGAGGAGAGGAGAGGAGAGGAGAGGAGGGAAGAGAAGGAGAGAGGAGAGAGGAGAGAGGAGAGGAGAGGAGAGGAGAGGAGAGGAGGGAAGAGAAGAGAGAGGAGAGAGGAGAGAGGAGAGAGGAGAGAGGAGAGAGGAGAGAGGAGAGAGGAGAGGAGAGGAGAGAGGCGAGAGGAGAGAGGAGAGAGGAGAGGAGAGGAGAGGAGGCAAGAGAAGAGAGAGGAGAGAGGAGAGAGGAGCGAGGAGAGAGGAGAGGAGAGAGGCGAGAGGAGAGAGGAGAGAGATGGAGAGATGGAGAGATGGGAGAGACGGGAGAAATGGAGATGGGAGAGATGGGGGAGATGTGGGTTCAATTGTACTGACCAATATAATCTCATGTGTCTGTGTCGCAGCCATATTTCCGTGCCATTGAACAAACACTTGGATCGATTCCAAATACATCCAAAGGGTCACACACTTTTGTGACTCAATCGTATCTACACGGGTTGCACATGAGAAACGGCCGGCTTACTCATTTATGAACGATAGACTTGCAGGCGATGAAGTTGATGTCACAATTGGAGTAGTTTTGTAAACGATGTTGCTTGCCGTTCTCCGTGCGCCAGTTAGAGTGTGCAATCATATATACTAGACAGATCAAAGGCAAGTGACACCTTTTTTATCATGTTGAATATTTTTCTCAATGGCCACGGTGCCTCTTCACATGTGGCTACGAACAGAGAGCCTTAAGACCTCAAGTCGATGCTGGCGAGGGTGGAGCGGAGCGGAGTGAGGGGAGCAGAGGGGGAGTGGCGTGGAGCGGAGTGGAATTGGGGTGTGAGCTTCTTGCGCCGCGCCTCTCGTTGGCACTCGCGCAACTCGTTGCAGGCGCTCGCTGCCACCTGCTTCCCGTCCTTTACAGTGGGCGCCTGGTGAAAGGCCGGAAATACGCAGCTGACCCTTCCGCTCGAACAGGCTCAACCACGCATCCAAACACGACCTGAGTTACAAGAGCTCCTCTCAATCATCTGGAGTTTGGACGATGTCTTATCTTGCCCAAACCAGTTCTCGGCGCCATCCTCCCTTTGCTTAGGACCGCTGCCTTGCTCTTGCGATGCTTGACGCTAGTTTCTCTCTCCACTGTTGGTGTCGGGGAGTGTGCCAACCCAGTCGGGATGGCCATTTATGGCGACCAGCCGCTGTTCCCCTTTAAATGCAAAATTCAGATTTTATGGTTCTCTTGACCGTGGGTTACCGTCTGGTTCACACATTCCCTTCACTTAAGCCAAAGGGGTGTCAGCAAACTCCCTCAAAGGAGCCGACCCCTTTGTTAACACATGTCATACTCTTATTGGCGGCTCCTGCCTGCGTGCGCGCGCACACGTTTGTGTGTCTGGTTTGTGTGCGTGGGTGTGTGTGTGTGTGTGTCAAATTGTGTGTTTGAGTGTTTTGTGTGAAAACTTTGTCTTGCGTGCGTGCCTGCGTGCGCGTGCGTGTGTGCCCTTCGTGCGCGCGCACGCGTTTGTGTGTCTGGTTTGTGTGCGTGTGTGTGTGAAATTGTGTGCTTGAGTGTTTTGTGTGAATTCTTTGTCTTGCGTGCGTGCGTGCGCGCGGCGCGCGTGCGCGTGCACGGCGCGCGTGCGTGTGCGTGCGCGCGTGCGCGTGCGCGTGCGCGCGCCGGGTGCGCGTGCCGGGTGCGCGTGCGTGTGCGTGCGCGTGCGCGAGTGCGTGTGGGTGTGTGTGCGTGCGTGCGTGCGTGCGCGGTCTTGTTGCTGCTCGTGTTTGTCTGCGCTAGTGCTTGTGCTTGTGTTTGTGCGTGCGAGCCGGTGTGCGCGTGTGTCAGTGAGGCAGTGTGTCCATGTGTGTCTGTGTGTGTCTGTGTGTGTCTGGGTGTGTCCTTGTGTGTCTGTGTGTGTGTCTGTGTCTGTGTGTCTCTGTGTGCTTGTGCGTCTGTGTGTGTGTGTGTTTGTGTCTTGTTCGCTGTTGCGTCTCTTTGTCTTTTTGTCCTTGATTATTTTTGTCTTTGTGTTTTTGTCTTTGCGTCTTGTTGTCTTTGTGTCTCTGTGCGTCCGTGTCTTTGTGTCTGTGCCTCTGCGTGTCTGCGTTTCTTTGTGCCTTTGTGTGTTTGCGTCTGCGTGTCTACCTATCAGAGCGTCGGCCTGTCCGTGTCTGCATGTCTGCGTGCGGCTGGCGTGTGATTGTGTGTAAGTGTGTGCTTGCCTGTCTGCGTGCCTGTGTTTGTAGAATTGTGGGTTTGCATGTTGTTGTGTCTCTGTGTGTGTTGGTGTTCGTGTGTTTGTGGTTGCGTGCGCTTTTGTGTTTGTGGGGGTAGGTTTGGTTTGCGCGCGCTTAAGTTTGTGTGGTTGTGTGCTTCGGTGTTTGCGCGTTTGTGTTTTCGCACGCGCCTTTCTGTGTGCGTTTCTGTGTTTGTGCTTGTGTGCGTTGTTTGTGTGTGTTGTTGCTCTGGGCACTTGCACGTTGGGAAGCAATCAAGCGGAACCGACACCCATCCTGTAAAATTGCCAGAAGGACCTAGGGAAATTCGCCATCTTGTTTTGCGGAAGTGCCCAAAATAGCTACCAACATTGTCAGTTACTCCTGTGTCCAACGCTTGAAGTCCCTGCGGACGATTGCACGATAGTCTGGAACCCGTAAAGTTGATGCTTGGCTTGCTGGTTCTCAGTAAAGAATAGGCTCCAAAAGAAAAGATTTCTCCTGGGAAGTTAGAAAGCACAGTGTTCAGGTTCAGATATCTTTGCGCCATCGTCTTTCAACCAGTTGCCCCGTGGTGGAAGCTCAAGCAAATTTCCAGCGCATCTTCCCGGCTTTGAGAAAGGCCTCTAAAGCCTGCAGCTGCCAGCAGGAATTGACATCGTCAGACACCTTGGGTCCGAAGACGAAGAAGCAGCCCCCTGGACAGGAAAGGGCAGGGGGCTAAAATCATGGACTAAGAAGACGTGCGGTTGCGTGTCAAAGGCGACGTTGAAAGGGGACACCAGTTCGCGCTCAGGAGAGCTGTCCCTGGGATCCTGACGGGTTTTTGTAAACAAGCTGATGTAAGATTCTCCTACTGGGAAAGGGTCGCACTTTCAACGGGTTACAAGTTGCGAGAAGTGGAGTTATAACGTGCTGCAAGTGACTTGTGTTTTCCTAAGATGGAGTCATAGTTATAGCGGACTTAATAAGTGCTAACTTCGTTCGGCGCAGATATAGCTTAGATACAAGTTCCGGGTGCCTGGACTTAAACGAGCCTAGCCGGAACTTAGCTTGTAGTAGTAATAACTACTTTTGCTTCGAGCGCTTGCGGGGCAATGCCCAAAATGAGTTTGGATGACCGAGCGCTCGCGCGAGTCAGACATGTTTGGTATGCGCAGCCGAACACGAGCCGCGAAACTTGGGCGGACAAAAGCCTTGCGCGCAGGTTTTGGTCGGAAAGCGGCAGGGCCGCCCGCATGCATTGAAGCACGGCCAGTGGCGCGTCCGCTTCCTCTTTTGCTTAGCTTTTCGCACAGATTCATCTAGGGATGTATATAAATATGTAACTGTATATGTATATGTCTATATATATATATACACATACATTTAATATATATATATATATATGCATATTTGTATTCGCGCTGCGGGACCGCGCTGCTCGGGTCGCGCAGGACCGTGCAGCCACCAAGACAGCAGGCCATGCTTCAAAAAACATGTTTGCCTGCTCAATGAGCTTCGAATGAACTTAGCGGACTTAGAAACCTCTTCTCCAAAGCGCGTGCTGATGAGTCCGAGCTAAATTCTAGAATAAGCCCATGCAAGCTCAGTCCCCATCGGAAGAACGATGCTTTTCCCTCCATACACCCATGAAGAACAGGTTGGCTAACTTCCTGCAAGAGTTTCCTGTGTCTGGTTTCTGTGACCAGCAAATTCTCATGACATGCGTTTTGAAAACCAAGCCGTAAAACCCGAAAGACAACTCGAAAAACCAAACCAACTAGCAAGTTTCAAGAAGACCGCGCCCCGCAATATCGTAAGCCCGAGTGCCCCCCGCAGCCCTGCAACCTTCCCAGAACTGCAGCGCCCCAACCCGGATTGACCCGCTGTTGCTGGGGAATAGCTCGCTTCGGAACACGTAGCGTAAGCCAGTCAACGCCGTGAATGTGAACTGCGCTGACGTCCGTTCTGACATGATTTTACAGAGTGCGCCGTGCCAGCGAAACAGCAGACCGCGTTTCACTTTTGCGGCTCTGCCTTTTGCAAAGCCTTTGGGCACATAGTCTTCCCCGACTTGCGCTGTTGAGCCCTACGTGCGGAGGCTGCAGCACAACCTTCTTGGCGCGCCATCGGCCCCCCTCCATCTGACTGCCCAAACAGGTTCTCCTGCCCCATCTTTTCGTTCACCCTCAGCCTCCAAATAAGTTGGCTCAGCCTCTCCGTCCTCTTAAGGTGTTGGGGTCTTGCCACGCTCGGGGCTTGGGGGGGGGGGGGGAGCTCGCCGCTTTGGCAGGGAGAGCGCCAGTCCTGCTCTGTATGTTGCAAAGCAGCTTACAAAACAACTCTTAGTGGGGTGGCAGTGGCTAGGTCCACCCTGAACCAGTCTGCACTCTTGTGCAACGGCTGCTGGGCAGGTTCTGGCGCAGCCCATTTCGGGTTTCAAACTTCGTGGCCCTGCAGTACAACACGAGCAGCCTGAGCAGTTGGCGCAAGATCCAAGTTGTTGCCTGGAGCTTGTGGGTAGACAGCTGGCTGTGTCCCTTTGGCACTGGTACGGCAAAACGTCCCTTGCCACCTGGCGTCCTTGATTGAGGCAGCCGCCTCTGGAAGCAAATCGCCAAACGGCCGTTTAAGAATTCTCTTTTGGGCGGGCTTGCGTCTTCGCATCGCAACCGTTCCGCAAGTGTGCGCATTTACTTGTCTCCCAGAATGTGCCTTGTCTCCCAGTGCCACCGGATCGCCGGGCCGCATGCTTGTCGGTGCGCGCATTTACTTGTCTCCCATGTGCCTTCATTTTGTCTGCCAGTGCTGCCAGATTGCCGGGCCGCATGCTCGCCAGCGTTCGCATTGACCGCATTTACTTGCCTCCCAGCATGCGCCTTCATTTGTCTCGCAGCGCTGTCAGATTGCGGGCCGCATGCTCGCACAGTGCGCGCATCTACTTGTCTCCCAGCGTGCGCCTTCATATGTCTCCTGCCTTCATTTGTCTCCCTATGCTTCCAGATCGCCAGACCGCGTGCTCGCCAGCACACGCGCTTGCTTGTCTCCCCGTAAGTTCCTCTAACCGCATGCTTGCCAGTGTGCGCATTTACTTGTCTCGC